TTGTCTTGGGATATTATTTTTTGTTTTGAATTTAAAAGACAACTCATCTGGATTTAGCAATCTGGGTTGGTATTTATTTACTTACAGAATTTCATTCCTACTTTCTTGGTTTTTAAGATTACTTGCAAAGAAATCCATGTTTTTCTGACATGTTTCCTTAATAGGTAAGTTGGTGTTTTTCCTTACATCTTTTAATGGTGTTACTTGTTTTGTATTTTTGACATTTGTCTGTAATATGCCATAGAAAAGTGGTCATGTCTAGATGAGATTCTAAATGTGTCTTGTGTTTAGATATCCATTCTTTTCTCTAGATTTGAAAAATTTCAAGTAATTATTTCATTGAGTGGACTCTGTATGCCATTAGTTTTTACCTTAGCTTCTGATATTATACCATGAATTTTTGGTATCATGATGATATATCCCATTTAGCTGTGTTTTCTATCTATCTATCTATCTATCTATCTATCTATCTATCTATCTATCTATCTTTGAGGCAGGTGCCTATGTAGACTAGGCTGCCCTCAAACTTTCTACACAGCCCAGGACAGCCTTGATTTCTGATTATCTTTTCTCCACCACTTAGATGCTGGGATTACAGGCATGTGCTACTATTCTAAGCTTATGTGGTACAAGGGATAAATCCAGGGATTCACTCGTATTAGGAAATCTCTCTACTGGAATACAGTCCTAGCCACTCTCCATTTGTTTTCTTTATTAATATTTGAATGTCTTACGTTTTCAAATTTTTTCTACATATTTTATCTTTCTTCTATTTGGTCAAGAGTAATTTGGCCATACGATTTGGCCATACTTTCCAACATGATTTATATTTGATTCTTTGAATATATTTTTTTTAATTTTCAACAGTTCTTTTTCTCTTCAAATTCCAGTTTCCATACTGAATTTTTCTTACACGATGTTGACATTTTATGTATATTATTCATTTATTCACACACTTTACTAAGATTTTCCTCTGTGTTGCTCATACTCTTCTCCACATCCTAAGTTTGCACCCTCCTTGAGGTCTTTGATCGCTTTTACAACTGCACTGTTAAAATCTTCACCAATCATTTTACCTGCTACATCACTTTTGAGGTCAGAAGTTGAGGAGTTAATGACTTTGGGAGCAGTCATGCCACTTTGTGTTTCTATGTTTCTTTTCTTTCTATGTTAAGATTGAACATGTGTTGGTTTCGGTATCTATTCTGATTTAATGGGGAGATCATCTTGTGGAGCAGCCTACTGTTGAGGGCTTTGTCTCCTGTGCCACTCAGAGGAAAGAAAACAAACTACCATAATAGCCACAATGCCAAAACATAAAATCCAAATACACTTAAAGTCAAATGGATTAATGTCCACTAATTAATCTTTAATGTCAGAAAGTAGAAAATAACAAGACATATTAGGATTAAGCTATGAAATTATTATTTACCTGTACATTATATATGTATATAAAATTGTTTCAAATAAATGTAGGAATAGTGAAAAATAAGATGAAGGCAGAAGAGAAAGTGAAAATGGAGAAGAAATGTTACATAAATTAAAGGAAAACTAAGAGGATTGGAGAATAATGTTATGGAGGGGAACAGGAAAGAGCAGATATTAGAAAACAATCTAAGATAAAGAAAGAAAATAACAAAAAAGATTTTCCAGTTATGAGAAAATTCAGATAAAAATGATGCATGCTAGAATATAAATAAAAAACATGAATATTGAAAATGATGATATTAAATTAATAAAGATGATCAAATACTGAAAAAGTAATTAAATAAAATTCAGTAAAAGTATGAAGGAAAGTACATTTTTAAAATATCATAAAGTGAAAATACTTCTAAAATTACAGTAAATAGGACAAAGCAGAACTATAAGGAGAAGATAGAAGAGAAAAGGAAAAAAGACAGAAATATTAGAGCAACTTTTGGGGCTCTTAAAATGTAAAGACTGTAGTGATGTGAATGTGTGAGGATCAGGGTACCCTGTGAACTCTTGGATTCTTGTGCCTCATGCTTGTGTTAACCCTGGATTGTATATATGTCTGATGTTCACAGATAGTGTCTTCAGTTTAGTTGGTTCTCTTTCATTGAGTAACAGGAACCCCATTTGACATACTGAGTTTGACCTTCTGTAAACTAGGCAGGTTCGTTCACCCTCTGAGACTCTATGGCTTCTGGAGGTGTCTAATGACTTACCTAGGGAATGTCTCCAAGTGCAGGGGAAGTCCAGGAACTAACTATAGCACTAACATCGCTACAGATGTAGGATCCGCCTTTGTCTGTTCAAGATTCCCCAAGTATTAATCATTTATCTGTGGGGATGCACTTCAGAATTCTTGGACTCTACAACACTGAATAACCAATAGGTGATTCCAGAAATTGAGCCACCTTCTGACCTCAGGTTCACTGCTGTCAAATTCAAGTATTATTTTGCACTGCTGTAATCTGCTACTACCCCAGAAGGTCTAGTTTTATGCTATTCTGCTATATCAGAGCTTCCTGAAGACTGTTCTTTTAGTTTGTTTGTATTTGGCCATCTGCTGTCCACCACTGCTTCCCAGGGTTGTTTCTCACCATTAATCTGTTGTAGGTTAAACTCAGGCACCCTGATAAGTAGATCTTCCTTGTTCTTAGATGACAAGATAGCTCAGTTATAAGGATCCATCTCCTAGTAGCAACTAGCTACTACCATGTACACTGACTTATTCTGTAAAAGAATAATACTTCTACCCTACATTGCATATTCAGCCCCAGAACAGGTAACCCAAGTTTTCTCTTTAGCTGCTACTAAATTCTAAAAGGAATCAAGAAACCAGAGCCTAATGCTTGGAAACATGGCACTGTAGTTAGAATTTTCTTTGGGCACTGACTAACTCCCAAATAAAGACACAGAGGCTTTTTATTAATTATGAAGCTCAGCCTTAGCTTAGACTTGTCCCACAGGCTCTCTTAACTTAGTTTCATCTGTTTCTCTTCATCTATGTTTTGCCTTTTAACCTTTGTTTCATTCTGTATGTCCTACGTTCCTGCTTCTCCATGTCTTGCTGGCTGGCCCCTGGCATCTCCTGCTTGACTCCCTTTCTTTTTTCTTGAGCTTAATTCCATCCTCCTACTTATTCTCCCTGCCTGGAAGTTCCAGCTATACCTTCTACCTCATTATTGACTGTTCAGCCTTTTATTAATCCAATCAGGTGCCTTAGGCAGGCAAGGTAAAACAGTAACATATCTTTACGTAATTAAACAAATATTCTGTGACATAAACCAATGCAACACATCTTCACATAGTTAAACAAATGTAACACATCTTTGCATAGTTAAATAAATATTCCACAACATGGTACCTGAACACACTTAGAGAAGCAAGGGTGGGAAGGAAGAAAAAAAGGAAAGCTGAAAAAGGAGAAATCATGGAAGTGAACTGATAAAAGCTTATAAAGAACTAGAGAAGTAAACTTACAGGCAAGGCACACCAAGAGATTTCCAGAGCATACTGGGTCAGTGCTGAGGGTCTCATCCTCAGGGATAGGACCTGGTAGGCCCTGAAATACTGGATAAAGGGTGTAGTCAGTACTACTCAGGCATAGGCATTTGTTGTGGGCAGAATCCTGATGGCCAGATGGCATCTCCAGCCTGATCTGCAGGAGTCCAATAATAGTTTGCTGATATACTGAGTTTGAAGCCAGAGCCTGATGCTTGGAAACATGGTACAGTATGAGCTGGGCTATTCTGGAGCCTTGCACCACAATGTCACCAGGTCCAAAAGGTGCCAGGCAGTATTTGAGCCCATGGGATCAGGTCTGTGGTGAGCATGTCTGCATCAGCCTGTCTGAGACAAATGCCATTTCAGCTTGTCAGTAGGCACTGTGATAAGCTTTCCCACCACCTCACTATTACCTGATATGGTTTCTGATGCATTTTTCTTCAGGATCTCAGCTCATATTACTAAAAGTAGTCAAGAAAAGACTACTGTAGAGAAACTAATGGGCCTAAGCAACTTAGTAGAGACACAGCTCAGGAGAGTATCTCCCAGACAATTCACTCAGGGAGCCTTAGCATCCTGCTAAGATGATTGTAAATGGGAGTGTTTGGACTAATCACAATCATTTGATCATTTAGTTTGGACCAACCCTAAGTATTGTGCCAATTACAACAATCATAGTCACTAAGGCTTGTATTTTGAACTAACCACTGTCTCTCATCTTATTACCAGTCAGAGTTATCTTTACACCAGGAAATTATTCTGACTCTGGTCAAGGTGGAAATGATTCTTTGAAGCTTGTGATTAAAAGTCTGCTATAGACTGTCTCTAATACACTTGCTGAGGCTGTATTTTGGAGAGCTAGGACAATCAACTTCCATCTTTTGTACAGTTTTCTGGAGGGATCCTTGGAGCTTTCAACATGACTGGTGCTGGCATACGGCTAATCCAGCTGGCTGTTTGACTCATAGACATTTTACTTAAAGCATTTCAGGAAGAAGAGAGAAAGAGTTCAATACCTACTAATTAAGGAGTCAAATGGTTCAATCCACAAGATTATTGATTATTTACATGAAAAATGAATGTCAGGAGGGCTGACAATACATAGTTAAAAATTGTATTATGAACATTACCAATGGTTTCAAGAATGCTTTAACATTCTCTCTCTCTCTCTCTCTCTCTCTCTGTGTGTGTGTGTGTGTGTGTGTGTGTGTGTGTGTGTGTGTGTGTGTGTGTGTGTGCATGCTCAGTGCAAGGGATAGGAGTCACCTTCATCTGTCTTAAGGCTATTCTACTGCTGTGAGCTTCAGAATTGTATGCAAGAACTGGAGAACAGATTCCTGCCTCTACTTCCAAATGGTCCCACTAAAGGGAACATAGTGAAGCCCAATGATGCTAACTTTTAAACATGAAGCTCATTGACATAGATTGATTCTCTGATCCTTGGGCTACATTTTGAGTGACATTGACTTATAAATGATCTGGAAAGAATGTGTGAATGTTAACAATATGTAAATTGTGTTTTTCAGAAGAATAAATTCAACTGTACTAGGAGAACTCAGTGCCCAGGAACCAATGTCAGCTCTGTACAGATACAAGGTGATGCTGATTATTTCATCAACCATCTTGGAGTTCCAACTGTGCAGTTTGCTTATGAGGACATCAAAGCATTAGAGGTAATTTTTTCTAAACATGTAAAATACTCACATACAATGTAGCAGATGTGAAGATTTGATTTTAACATAGTTTTGTATCTATCTTCCATACCAAATAGGTCACTATAGGAAAGGGCTTTACTGTGAAATAATCTTGTTGTTCAGAGGCTTTGAAATGTATTTGAAAGCATGAACTTTAAAGGGTGTTCAATTCAATTCAGAAAGATTTACACTGTCACTCATATTTTCACAGAGAAGTTCACAACAAGAAACATCAGTTGTTGGATTAACATCAAAACAAGTGTAGTCTTCAGTGTTCCAAGAAACACATAGAATGTGCAGAAGACTCTCTTCTGTGCCCAAGGGAAAATACATTTCATGTGCTTTGTGTTAATCTGAGTCTTGTGGATTAACCTCCAGGATTGTCAATAGTTTGTATACCTGAAAATACTTCCTCCAAAGAATAACATGAAAGCATGATTCATCTTCATTAACATCTCTATCCTTATGGACCTGAGTTCTTCTCTGTTTCTCAGAATCTAAACTTTCTTGCACACATTGTTCATGTGTCTGCGAGAGGTTCGGGAGCACCCTGATTTAGGAAATTATTACATTGAGAACATATTGATTACAAAACAGAGTAAAGTATAATATGGTCCTTATGGACCATATGTAGATATGTCCAGAAAGAGTATTTCAGTTATGTTTGCAAAGACACACCTCCAGCTATGCGGTTCCTAAGTTCTAATAGGCTCAGCAGTGTTTAGTGTTCTATGTATACACAGCTCTCTCTCTGTTCCACACTCTAGTTTCTCTGGAGATAGTGATCATTATCCACTTAAACTCATGGAGACAACAGACTCCAGGAGAATCCTACTGTGGGGAGATTAACTCTTTGGTAATGTAGAGTAATGTTTCAGATTTACTTGTTAAGATTTTCATCCACCATCTTTAAACACATTTTAAAAGTATTATTATTGTTGTTGTTTGCATGAATATGGAGGGTGTACTTGTTACAGCAGGCATGTAGAATGTAAGGAGAAATTTCAAGAGTAGGTTCACTCCTTTCAAAGTGGAATCTGGGAATGAGCAAGCTCTTCATGATTATGAGGCAAATGCTTTCATCTGCTAGTCATCTTTCTGCCTTCATTCACCATATTTTAAAAAATGGATACATGTAGATATGTTGGTTCTTTCACATAAACTCAATATATGCACATTAATAAATAATCACCTGTGCTGCCACCTGAAGCCGTGTTGATGTCCTTGGTCTGTGCTGCCATTGAGGGCTATGATGGTGTCCATGGCTTGTGCAGCCTCAGAGGGCCATTTGATGTCTGTACTGCTACCAGAGACCATGCTGAAGTCTTTGGCACATTCAGCTATCTCCAGATACCATGTATAAGTCCATGATCTGTGCTCCCACTGATTGTAAAGGACAAGAAGCTACGTTTGCCATGGTATTGATGACTGCAAACTCACAGTTGAGAAAAAGGGACATAGAAGGCATCTGTGACAACCCCTACCTCCCCTGCCAAAAGAAACAATAGCTTAGAAAGTCACTGAAGAGAACTCTTAAAAAGTATGATAAGGATGCTGAAGTGTAGCTATCCACAGTTGATGGCTTCTGGAAGGGGTGTGGTTGCTGAAGGATTCAGTTTTCCTTACAGGATTTGCCATTGGGAGTTTGGACATGCACCAGTAAGTATATGGGCAACACAAATTAGACTTTCCTCCTCCTCCTCCTCCTCCTCCTCCTCTTCCTTCTCCTTCCCCTCTTTCTTTCTCCTCTTTTCCTTCTTTCTCTTCCTCCTCCTCCTCTTCTTTTCCTTCTCCTCTTCCTCTTTCTTCTGCTGGTGCTGCTTCTTCTTTTTCTTTTCCGAGGTGTCGGGTCAGAAGGGTTGTGGGGGCAAGCCTGGGAGGACTGGGAAGTAAGTGAGCTCAGGGTTCATGATAGGAAATTCCCAAATAAAAATAATGTGAAAAAGATAGATATATTAAGAAATAACTTTGAAATTTTCCTGCACAATACCTTTGAATGTCTCTCATCATCCCCCAGTCCTAGCACACCAGGCTTTTATCTTACTCTCAAGTTGGATGATAGCTTCTGTCTTGTGCACATAATTTATTTTGGTTAAGTTTTCAGCCACAAGTATTCTAGCATAACTGTGGGGCTTGAGTAAATTCCTACTAGACAAATTATTTAAAGTCTCTTGGATTTATTTTTAGGATGAACTACTTTGGTTCACTCTGGAGCACACAGATTAAATGATATTGTGTGTGAGTAGGGCTTAGTTAACACTGTGCTCATGCTAAGACCCCATCAACTACCAACCACCAACCGTAGTGATTAGCACAATTTCTTGTCAGGATGTAGGGTCCAGAGATTAGTGGAGCATTTCCAGATAACTTGGAAGCATACATCAGTGTGTGAGGTAAGAACTGTTCATTGTTAAGGTTCACAGAGGTGGGCTGAGATAATCAGTTGGAGAATGTGGGGAAGCAGATGAGAGGAAGCAGACTGGAAATGAGGTACAATGAAGCCTCCAGGGGATGCCATTATCACTGGAACACTCCTGAGGCCAATCTGTCTCCTATAGAATGGCCTTACTCTGAAGAATGCAACAGTGTTTCAAACTGTACTTAGAATGCCTAACTCTTGTCTTCTAAATCATTTCTTATTATATTTGTTTCTACAAAAGTAATTAGTAGTGAGTCCCCCATGCTTTAATGAAAAATGACCTTGCTTATATTGATTTAGTGGGGAGGTTTTAAAAATAGATTTGTCCCTTGCAAAATAGGGTTGCTTATGATGTGATAATTTTGTATGAACTCTCTAAAGAACAGATATTAACCTTTACTTTCTGTGTTAACCTATCATAAATATTTGTACACAGCTATTAAGAGGAATTTTAAATATTGCAAAGCTTCATGTAGGATATTAAAATATTTTACTACACCCATTAGTAGTCAAGGAAATTAGAGCCTTGTCGCAAATTTGCCTGGCTTTCAAAATTCAATTTTTACATGTTTTCTTTAGAGAAGTGTACCAGAGGGCTGGGAATCAAAGATCCTCTTTCTGTAGATCTGTCACTTCTCAGGTTCCTTGTGCATCTGTGCTTCTGATACTTTACCTATATCTAAGTAAAGAAAATTGATACCAATAGTATCATCCACTATTATCATTTGAATTTGGAATTTCCCCCATAGGCTCATGCTTTCCCGAGTTGGTCCTCACCTTGTGACACTAATATGGAAGTTGTATCATCCTTAGAAGGCCTGATTTGATTGGCACAGTAGGTGTGGGCTGGGACTTGTAGCTGTTTCTATCTTCTTTTCTTTGCTTCCTCTCCTGCTGCCATGTAAGGAATCTCTAACATATATTTCCACCACCATTAACTGCTCTGGACCTTCCTTGTTTCTACAGACTGTAATACCTCTAAATATGTGAGGATAAAAATGAATACATCTAAAATAAAAATAAGTTCTTAACCAAACACAGGTAAAAACCAACAATGCTGACCAATAAATGAGAATAATTATAGCAATGTACCATTTTTTAAAATGCTGTGATTGTTACTCTTGCCATTTGGGGATTATTATTAAATACAAAAGGATTACATGAAAACATGTACTGCACTAACAGGGCAGGCAATCTAACACCTGGTGACTAAATCAATACTAGGAAGGTTGCATGGAAAATATGGATCTACTGGGGTAAGAGAGATTCACATTTTGAGCAGGATGGAACACAATAAGTGTTGGATTTCCTCATGCTACAAAGATCAGCGTGCAACTCAAAATTTATTGTTTATTTCTGAAAGTCCCTACTTAGTATTTTTGGACCAAATTTGACTATACTTAACTGAACTGGTGAAAAGCAAATCCCTGGGTACATGGGACCTCTTTACATTTAGCTACAACAATTAAATCATGTGAAAGATCCTCTGAGATCACAGCAGCTCCCTGAGACACAGACTCTGCCCATTCTAATTGGACCAAGAGCTCCAATTGTACCAAGAGCTTCCATTGGAACAAGAGTGCCCATTGGACCTAAAGAGGCTCTATCAGGCACAGACACCTTTTGTACCAATTGGAGGAAGAGATGGGTAGAAGCCAGTGCAAAAATACAGTCAACAACATTAAGACCAATATGGCACCACCAGAACCTTGTGGTTCTATATCAGCAAGACCTGAAAATCCCAACACAAAAGAAGCAGAAGTAATCGACCTTAAAAATGATTTTAAGAAGATAATAGAGGTCTTTAGAGAGGAAATGAAAAATTCCCTTAAAGAAATCAAGGGAAAGACAAACAAAAAATTGGAAGAAATCAATAAATCCCTTGAAGAAAGCCAAGAAAAAGCAATCAAACAGGTGAAGGAAACAGTTCAAGACTTGAAAACTGAAATAGAGGCAATAAAGAAAACACAAACTGAGGGAATGCTGGAAATGGGAAATCTAAGTAAATGAACAGGAACTACAGATGCAAGCATAACTGACAGAATGCAAGAGATGGAAGAGAGAATCTCTGGCATGGAAGATAAGATAGAGGAAATAGGTTCATCAGTCAAAGAAAACATTAAAGCCAACAAAATCATAACACAAAGCATCCAGGAAATCTGAGACACCATGAAAAGACCAAACTTAAGAATAATAGGGATAGAAGAAGGAGTAGAATACCAGCTCAAAGGCACAGAGAATATATTCAACAAAATCATAGAAGAAAACGTTCCCAACTAAAGAAAGAAATACCTATGAAGATATAAGAAGCTTACAGAACACCAAATAGACTGGACCCCACTCCCAAAAGTCCCCTTGCCACATAATAATCAAGCTACTAAACATACAGAATAAAGAAAAAATATTAAGAGTTGCAAAGGAAAAAGGCCAAGTAACATATAAAGACAGACCCATCAGAATAACACTGACTTCTCAGTGGAGACTCTGAAAGCCTGGACAGACATTATGCAGACATTAAGAGACCATGGATGCCAACCCAGACTATTATACCCAGCAAAGC